CTCGTCCAGCAGGCATATCGGCCGGTACGCCGACGAAGAAGTCGTCGATCGGCCTTCTTTACGGAGCAAGACCAGCCTCGCCGTTCGCCATGTTCGGGGGTAAACTCCCTCTTTCAGACATCTTGTATAGAGGCGCCGAAGTTTGGGAGCCATGAATCCCATCACTTCCCCCCAGATCCAGCCCGGGATTCCGTCCGCGCACGGTGCACGTCACGGGAGGCCATTCTTCTGGTCGCCTCCCACATCTCTTCCTCCGTGACTTCCCAGTCATCTGTCCATTCTACCGACCATGTTGTTTCCCGCGATTGTTCTCCCGCACTGTGCTTTTGTGGGGGGAAAAGCGTCCCGATGATCTGCAGCAGTAGCGCAGGTTCAATCCCTTCTCAATCTCATCGTTACCAGAGGGCGTGTGTCAGATTCGACTGCCTCGACTAATTCGAACCAGGCACGGTCCTTCAGGATTTTGATCTCCTTTTGTAACGGGCGCCATAGCGCAGGGAGACTTCTTCCTCGTCGCGTTGTCGCCAGCGGAAGGCCCTCAGGTACCGTCTTCGGGCCCGGACGCATCTCGCCCTCAGTTCCGCGATGTCGGGATTCCATCAGTAAACTGTTCTGCTTTGCACCGTGCTCGGTGTGGCTCACGGCATGGATGCATCGCAAATTGCTGTCATGGCTCGGCGAAGATTCTCGGCCTCCTCTTCCACGCCTGTTTCGGTCGTCGTCGAGGCCTCCCAGCCCCAAGCTGTCGCTATAGCGGCCGCCCGGAGTGGATCTTCGTTCCTCTCCTTTACCTTCCATCTTGGCAGTGGGCGCGCGCGTCCTCTTCTCGGCGGGCCACGACCATCGTTCTGGGTCCAAGTGTCTCTTTCACCTCCATGAATATGTAGAGGTGGTCCGAGCGTGTCTCGACTCCCTCGGCCACTCTCCAACCTGAAATCCGCCTGAATGCATCGAGGGAAGCTCATGTGATGTCAATGACGGAGCTCCCTCTCCACGCCACGCAGGTGCTGGCCGAGCCCCTGTTCACCAACAGGAGTCCAAGTACCGGGGCCCAGTCTGACAGCGAGTGGCCGTGCGCGTTGGTCCTGTAGTTTCCCCATTCCGTGGAGTTTGCCCAGGACGAGCACCTGCCAGGGAAGGCGCCGCCTGACGCAGTCGCCAACCCCATGCAGGAACTCCTCGAACGCTGCCCATCCGCTGTTAGGTGACACGTACATGCCCATCATCATCATCCCTGCCCACTCGACCGCAACGTATCCGATCCAGCGGGACTCCGTGGGCGAACTCCCCCAGCATTGATGTCCAGATGACAGCAACCATTTCGTCCGTATCTCCGGCCCTGTCTGGAGCATCCAGAACTCTGTATGGTTCGGCCACCACCGCTAGGGCGACCGTGCTCTCTCGAATGGTTTGGTGGAGCAGGTCTTGCGCTCGTTTTGACCATCCCAAGTTGGTCTGAAGGATGCGCATTTTTTCAATCACCTAGGGTCCATGGCGACCTTGCCAGCTTGGGCCAGTTTCCTCACTGCACCGGCGGGGTCTCGTATCCATACAGATCCAAGGTCGTTTCGAGCGAGGCGGATCTCTTCCAGTCGGACGTCCTCCGTCTTGCAACCGCTCTCCTTCGCCATAGTTTTCCTGATTTTCCCCTTGGTGGCCGAAATATCTATCTTGGTCACCCTTGCTTCCGCAGTTCGGAAGGGTATCGCCACGCGGGCCTTGCTCGGATCCCAGGTCCGGGTTGACCGTGCCGGGAGCGCAGGGGCCTTCTCCCTCTCCTGATCCTCGGAGACCTCCAGAACGACGCCTCCGGTCATAGTTTTGCGTATCCTCACCGTGTTGATGCCGAGCTGTGCCAGAGAGACGCTGTCCTTGGCCGCGGCCAACACCTCTGCGTAGGATTGGCCCGATCTATCCTTCAGCGTGATCGTTACCGCCGATGTTCGCGGTGTACGTGGGGGAGAGCAGCTTGTCTTCCCCTCTTCGCACGTTCTCTGAGCTTTCCTCGGGCCCTTCGCTTCTGTCCCGGGAGTTAGCTTCGCCGGTTGTTTCTTCCCTGGCTCCTTTTTCTTCTTGTTTCTTCTTTC